GGCTTGGGGTTTAGGGCTTAAGGGTTCAGGGCTTTAGGGTTTAGGGCCTAGGCTTTAGGGTTTAGGGCTTAGGATTTAGGGTATAGGGTTTAGGATTTAGAGTTTAGGGTTCAGGGTTTAGGGTTTTAGGGCTTCTTTAACCTGAAGCCTGCATGGAGCCGAAGGTCACACACACGCCACCACATGATGAGGGCGGCTGCAGCAGCTATCTGTCTTCTTCAATGACTGCACAAGGCTGAATAAGGGAACCCATGGGTGGGCTCAGACTCTAAATGTAAATTCGCGACATCAGTGTTATGAGTGCAGATGCGGTGCCTGCGAAAAGGATCATTTCCTTCAGGAAGATTTCTCTCGTCAGTTTGACATCTTTGATGACGAAACCGGCAGAACTGTCGTCAATGTATCGGACAAGGTATTGCCGGTCTTCGTTCAAAGGCTCGTTTGATTGCAACTGGTTCACAAATGCTGGTATGTTCTGGCATTTGGATGTCAAGTCAGCGCCGGCCGAACACAGCCGCAGGCTCAACCTTGCATCGGCCAGGTGGATGCAGCGATGCATGTTAACCCTAAACTCTGAACCAGTAGCGACTGTGTTGCCTCATGTTCCTAGAAGGAACCAGAGGGAGGGAGGAAGGCATTCGTCGCTGTCACTCCAAGAAGCCAACATCCGCATCCAAACCTCGAAACAAACCCTCAACCCTAAACCCTCATCCTTGAGCTTACGACCTCGGTCGCTCAATACGAGGACGAGGATGACAGGAATGACGACGACGAAGAATAAGGAGAAGAGAAGAAGTCGTGGGTAGGTAGCTCAGACCTGCTGAAGCACTTGGTGTGCCAGCCAGCAGCTCCCATGCAGAAAACAGGACAACTCCTGGCAGGCTAGAAGAAGTCGACGAAGGCGAACGACGACGACGACGACGATCACACAACAACAGGTCCGATGGCAATTCTGATGCTTGTGCTCTGAATTACATGCCTTTGACCTATTTGCCATAGCGCGTCCAGTGCGATGTGCTGAGTCCAGGCCATGTTGAGCGCCCCAAGCAAACTTCAATTGAGGGCTTCGGACTCACCTTGACAGCAAGAGCCAAATCTTGCGCTGTCTTCCCCGACAAGCGGCAGAAGCAGCCAAAGAATCGGTATCGCCGAGCAGCCTCACTACAGTCGGTCTATCCAGGCTCGGGGTTCTACGGTTTAGGGTTTAGGGAGCTCGCAGGCTCTCAATTCTTGAGGGTTCGGGACTTGCAGGGCTAGGGCTGTAGAGGCGTTGTATGGGGGCTTCTTTCCGGTTTCAAGAGAGCTTAGGGACTTCTGGATACTTAAGGGACTACCGGGCACCGGAATACGGCTGAGGGTGTCATCAGGGCCTATGTGGGTCTATTTTCTGCGGACATACAACGTATGACACCCTACCAGGGCTTATTGTAACGGGCGACTATTGACTATCCCTGTATGGCTTTCCATGCCATTTCAAGCGCGTAAGAGCTTTGTGGCTTCCCGGCACATGTGGAGCTCAGGGCTAAAAGGGTTTCATTCTGGGACGATTACGGGCCTAAGGGAGGATCAACATTCGGGGCTTGTGGCCGAGACGTTTTCCCCCCTAAACCCTGAACCCAAAGCCTACACTGCCTACACCTCCCTGACGCGAACCACTTTCGCGTGTCAAGCATGCACAAACCGTAAAGCCTCTCATTCAAACCCAAAGGCCCTAAACCCATAAACAAGCATTCCTCAACCCTAGCCCCCCAAAACCCTAAACACCTTTCGCGACCAGCGCCCAGGGTTCGTTGGTGTCGTTTTGGAAAGCCCACCTCGGCATGGCCACGTTCCAGTCGCACTTTTCGTCTCAAGAGATTGACAGGTGGTCTTGCTTGGGAAGATGTGCACAACCTATATGTGCACAACCTATTTGTTCACAAACGTTTGAAGTTCGCAAAAGAGGTCGTACATGAGCAATCAACCATCGAATGAACAAATCAGTAGACACTCGCGAACCGACAAACAAATCAACAAAGCAGCAAAAGCAAGCAAATGCATCAATAAAACCAAGCAGCAACAATAGGCATAAAGTACGCCAAAAGAGAGTTTATCTATATGTATATCTCTCTCTATATATATGTATATATATATGTGTGTGTGTGTAGGTACGCAGGTGTGTATATATGAGAAAACACGATATGTATGTATTTTGTAAGTTTGTATGTATGTATGCATGCATGCATGCATGTATGTATGTGTGTATGTATATGTGTGTGTGTATGTATGCATGCAATGTATGTATTTATATATGTATGCATGCGTGCATGCATGTATGTATGCATGCAATGTATGTATTTATGTGTGCACTTATAGGTAATGTTGTATATATAAGCATACGTACATACATACATACATACATACATACATGCATGCACACATACATACATACATACATACATACATACATGGCAGCTACAAATCCTAGCTATCTTGCTATCTGCCCGTGAACCGATGAATTATCCACCACATATCCAGCTACCTACCTACCCACGGTAGGCCGACAAACCTACCTCCCCAGATAAAGAATGCAACAACTCAGGCTTGGGCTGTTCTGGCTTGACTATGAAATTCATACAAATCAATCCCAAGCCTCAAAACCTATAAATGCTATATACTTCAGAGCCCTGAACAAAACAAGCATTAAAGCAGTCCAGTCACATCAGGCCAGCGACGAGAAAGTACATGGAGCCAACGGATGCAATGCACTGCGTTGCAAGAAAGATTGACGCTAGCTCGCGGCTGACCTGCCATGGCTGATCCAATGGCTAGTTTCTCGATGTTCGGGCCGCTCTTGCTGTTGCTCTAATTTGTTGATATGGGGTTCCTGTTGCCACTCTGCCGGTAGTCAAAATTCAACAATCGTCCCGGCGGTTGTCGCGACTGCTTCCTTTTTATAACTCTCATTGCTATTGTCGGTATTAGTACTATTGTTGCATGTGCTGTTGCAGTTGCTGTCCTTGATGTTGTTGTAGTTCTGGTTGTGTTTGTTCTTCTTGTTCTTGATGCTGATGCTGTTGCTGCTCCTGCTATCATTTAACCCGTGCTTGTTAGTTGAGTTTACCGCTGTAGTTAATGTTATTGTTAAACATTGTTAAACCATCACTGTTATTGTTGCCGATGTTGGTGGTGGTGCTATTGCTGTTGCTGTTGCCGTCGTTGGCTCGACGCTGATGTAAACGCGTACAACCGGCATGCCGAATTTCCTCTACTTCATGTGCCGAATATATCGATGCCGTCGGTGCTCGCAGCGCCTGAGGATTCAGGGTTTCTTCTGCTTGCTGTGCCGAAGACATCGATGTTGACGGTGCTTCCTGTACTTCGGCTGTCCAACCATGATGACGTCCAGGGTCTGATCCGTTCTGAGAAGAGACCATCCATGGCCCAACAAGGCCCAAACATGATGACGTCCATGGCCTAATCAGTTCCGAAAGGAGTGCATCCATAGACCGCTCTGAGAGGACAGCAGCCATGGCCCAAGGATGTGTCCGTGTTGTTGTTGTTGTTGCTGCTGCTGTTGCTGCTTTTTTTGTTGCTTTTGCTATTGCTGCTGTTGCTCTTGCTGTTGCTGTTGTTTTTGCTGTTGTTTTTGCTGTTGCTGTGGCTGTGGCTGTGGCTGTTGCTGCTGTAATATTAATGTCAACGTTGGTCAGAATGCTGATGCTCACTAATCCTACGGTTGGTAGACAACGCTAAGGTGATGGTGAACGCTAAATGTTTCAGCTTGCGCGTTTGTTTTTTCGGAGTCCGAGGTCATATACAGTTTCGGGGTTTAGGTTACGGGGGTCCGAGGATGTAGGGATAGGATCTAATCTAGGCCCTCAGCCCTAACCCCAAACCCCTACAGTAAGTCCTGAACCCCTAGCCCTAAACCCTTGTAGACGAGTGGCAGTCTTGAGGACAGCTTGCATTGCATTCCAGCTTCCCACGGCTGCCGCGCAGTCCGTGTTGCTGAGCAGTTGGAGACACCAGCAATCCTTGTCTAAGACTCCTGAAAACCCTAAACCCTAAAACCCCCCACCATAAAGTCCATGCAGACCCTAAACCCTTAAGCCCCTAAAGCCCCTAAGACCCTAAACCCCAATCAACCCTAAACTTCCCAGAACCCTTACACCCCCAAAACCCTGAAACGGTTCAAGTACCGGTTCTAGAAAGGTGTCTCCTCTTGCAGGGACCTCCTGGCTCGCATAAACTGCAGACCCTAAGCCCCGAACCAAAAACGCTTTTAGGGTTCAAAGCCCAAAGCCAGGTTTGTTTTTCTTTTTTTTTTTGGGGGGGCGGAGAGGAGGGGTTAGGGTTTAGGGTTTCGGGGTTTAGGGTTGAGGAGGGGAGGGGTTTAGGGATTCGGGGTTTAGGACTTAGGGTTCATCTCCTATGAATATGATCTGCACATACGAACTTAAAGGGTCTCTATTTCCTTGAGGGTCCTAGCCGCATGGTGTCGGGCTTGGGTCGGAGGGTTTAGGGCTTTGCCATCTGGTTAGGGTATAGGGTTTAGGGTTGAGGGGTTTAGGATGGTTTAGGGTTCAGGGGTTTCGGGGTTTAGGGTTCAGGGTTGTTCCGCTGCTGGAGAAACCGCAGTTCAAGGTAAACACGTCTTCGCAAAATTGCGGTCTCATCTAAACTCCAAGCTACAATCTTCAACCTTGAGGCTCAGACCCTACAAACCCCAGAAACGAAACCTCAGTCCTAACCGTCTGTTCGTGGAGATGTGGGTCTCAATGCCTGCATCACAAGAAAATGATGCCAATGGCGCACCCGAGCAGCTAGCCCAGCATCCAGGCCCATGAGATAGTGTTCCTGTCCCAGAACTCCGAAACCCGAATCCCCTTAAACCCCAAATCCTAGTCCCTAAATCCTAATAAATCCTAAGCCCGAACCACCCTAAACCCCAAATCCCAAACCCTAAACCCTAGACCCTAAATCCCAAAATATACACCCTAAACCACACAGGGACTGGGCCAGAGAGGTCTTCTAAAGTACGGTTGTTTTAACAAGAAGGAGTCAGGCTGCCCGCCCAAATCGCTAAGGGCTTGGGGTTAAGGGCTCATAGGGTTCAGGGCTTATAGGGTTTAGGGTGGATCGGGTTTAGGGTTCAGGGTTTAGGGCTTATGGGGTTTATGGGGTTTATGG